TCTCTTTATGCAATGCCCTTTACACTAGGAAAGTTAAACTTTTGGGGGACTTTGGGGAGCGCTCAAGTCCCTTTTCATAGAAAAGTGCATGTACATTGCAAATTTTGTGTACAGCTTTGGGGATTTCAAACTCCCGGAAATAGATACATGAATACTAGGTAGAGAACCCTTTCTTATACCTTTGGTTCATGTTTGCATGCAAAAGGAACAGTGCCCCAGTATTTATACTTAGGCAAACTCATGGAGAGAGACACTCGAAGCAGAAGCCCTAGATCTGTCCTCTCTTCCTCCCTCCCTTCCTTTTTGTATATTAAATCTTAATTAGATAATAGGAATAAATTTATGTAAGTCTAAGACTCTTCCTACTACTATTCCCACTACTAGTCCTTCCAGTCATTGCTTTCTAGTCTTTTACATACATATGTATCACCCATAAAAATGAATAGTTTTATGCTTTTTAAATAAATGATATAGTATGCATTGTTTTGCAACTTTTAAAAAATTCAGCGTTGTGTCTCATTCTTTTTATTTGCTATATCAGATCCCATTTGTTAATTCCATAGTTTATTTGGCCACCCACTATTGATGGATGTTTAGGATGTTTCCCGTTTTTCAGTATTACAAGCAGTGCTGCCATAAATATTGTTTTTCATACCTCCCTGGCCCATGTTAGTGCTTCTCAAGGGGAGAAAGTGAAAAATGGACTTGCTAGGCATGTGATTTCAAAGTAGCTTTATTATATTATATCAGCAACATATGAAAATCCCCAGCCTGCCCAAAGTCTCTCATCACTCGGTATTATCAAATCAAAACTTTTTTTTTCAATGTGATGGATAAGAAATGATATGATAATTACAAGTAAGTTAGAGCATCTTTTACATCTTTGCATATGTGTGTTAGCCGTTTCACATTTCTGTTATGTTCATATCCTTTGTTGGGATTTTTTTTAATGCTTATTTGGCTTTTTCTTATTTACAGGAATCCCTTATGTATTTTCGCATTATTCTTGATACCAACCTCTTCTCTTGTATATGTTATAAATCTTTTTCATTTAGATCTTTTTGATCCTGGTTTTGCTACTGACTAGCTCTGTGATTTGGTGGACATCATTTGACTTCCACAGAACCATTTCTCTCTATTGTACAGTGTGAATACACTACCTTTTAGTTATTGTGTTACTGTGTAATGCTAGTTAAACAGTGTATGGGCTCTGTGATTTGGGGGTTTCTCATTTGATTTTCACCAGCCATTTTTCCCAGCTGTAAAGTGAGAATTTTTGGTTTATTGTGAAATGCCAAAGAAAGAGCATATGAAAGTGCCTTGGAGAATAAAGAATACCTTCAAATGTAGGCATTTTGTCCTTTCTTTGGCTTTATTATGATTCATCCATAGCAGTTGGCTTTTATGAAGCATCCCCCATCTCCATAGATGGATCAAACTTTGAGGGGTGTTACACAACATAGCGCTTGTCTTGTTTTAATCTACACTCTTCTTGGGGGAGGAGAGAGGTACATAAACAAGATAGGCTCACATTGAGCTCCTGTGTTCTTGGAATGCATTGTGTGGAATGGAGGTGAGGAAGAGCGGTATCAGGCGAATCTCACTTCTTCACTCACAGTGCTTCCCCCAGGGACTGACATAGCATAATCTGGCCATTTATGGAACCAAATGTCTACAAGGTTAGAATTCGTCTAACTTCTCAATTAGAACACAGGTTTCAGAGGCAACTCCTCCATTCCACCACAGTAGGGAACTCTGAAAGTATTGTCTATTCCAGTTACCTTTTGACTGATGACTGCCCTCTGCAAACAAATAATTAACTAAAACATGATACTACCCGATGGTTTGGGGCCACTCATACTCAAATACCACCTTAGACCTAGACAGCTCTGTGCCCCTGCCCTATGCTTTTGAGGGTCTTTCCTTTGGCCATGCCTGCCCCCTTCTAGACCGCTCTCCAAGTATCCAGGACCCAAGAATTACCTGATGAAATGTCCTGACCCTGCGTCCAGGGCCTGCAGAGGCTCTTTCTGAGCCCATCCTCCCAAAGGTGGACCAAACCATTAGACCCTGCCCCTGATATGCGCATTTGTAGGACCCAGGTGTGGCCAAGGCGACTGTTTGAGAGAGATGTGCCCAGAGCTTGGGTGTATTCGCTTGAACATCTGTGTACAATGCTCCTTGAGGTGCAGGAAGGAACTGGGGTGTGCGAAAAGAAAGGAAGTGGCTTTGGGGCCAGGGTTGTCCATTTGTACTCTTACCCAGCTCTGCCGCTGTCAGAGGAGGGTCTGCCCAGAGGACCCTCTCCCTTCTGACCAACTGCTTATTTGGTGGGGGAGGGGTTAAAAAAGCTATTGGGGAAGGTTTTTTCACCACCCGTTTAGAGGCTGGCTCAATACAGACCCCAATTATCTCTGAGAATATTCTCAAAGAGGGAGGGGTGGGGAGGTAGTATGGGTGAATTTCCTGAAGGAAGAGTCTCTGTGCCTCTCCTCTGTCACTCCCCTGGGTAGGCAGTGCTGCGGATAATTTGTAAAAAGGAGGAAGGATTCTGCTGACACACTGTTTTTATGAAAGAAGGCTAAGGGTTCCCTTATCTCTCCACACAAGGCACATCTGCCTGCAAACAGGCTGTCTGCTTCTTAGGGATTCCTTCGTCGTCCTGTTTCTCTTCTGAATGTTTTAAGACACAGTTTGGTGCATTCCTTTCTGTTCTCTAGAGCCAGGGGGAAAGTCATAATATATCAAAGGCTCTTGCTGAAGAGCTTAAAATGGGTGCTGGCAGCTGGGATGTGGGGGAAAAGAGTTTTCCAGGGACAAGTGACCTGCTTGTTCCAGCCAATGAGAAGCAGGTTAGAGGAATGATATCACCAGACAGTCTTTATTGTCTGATCATCTCATAAAAGCAGGATTGTGTCTGGCAATTTAACCCTTTTTTAGGTACTTTGGGTCTCATGCATTCCCCTGGTGTGTGACCTCCAGATTCCTTTTCCCACCTGTCTGCTCTGAGACCAGAGATGAAAGATTTAGATTGGTGAAGAAATCTGGAAGGTTGTCATCATTTTAAAAGTAAAACTAAAAATACAAATTATTAAAATTTAGAACCACAGTTAGGATGGGAATGTCAGCTAAGCTGTGTTTGGAGAGCACATCTAAAGCAGATATCGGTCTTAGGTTATATCAGACTTTTACTGTGTAGACTTGGGAGAGAGAGGAGGTTAGAGGGGAAGAAAGGATTTAGGCTTTAGTCTGTTTTAATCTATATGATGGAGTCTTACTAAGTAGGTCCTGTTTTGGAGGAATTGGAATTTTCCCCCCGAATTTGGAAACTATCACTGATTCTGAGGCCAATTTTGAAGAACAGACATTTGTAGTACTTGTTTATATTGTACTTATTTATTGTCCCATACCCATAAAAACGACAAGTCATTTTACTTACTCATACCTCCTTTCCAACACTGGTAAAATGAGAGTGATTATCCTATCCTATCCCAAAGGAGTTGAGATAAGAAAATAAACTAATTCATGTGACTTTACATTGTGCTCCACACATGTATTATTATAAGGGCATTCATATCTTAAGATTGCATATTCATTCATTCGTTTGTTCAGCAGACTTTTTTGAACACCTTCTTGATGCTGAACACAGATAGAGGTAAAAAGTGTAGTTCTTACCTTTAAGGAATTTAAAATATTGTGAGCGAGACAGACAGTAATAATAAATATGTCTCGTACATCTATTGTCTTTAGCATGTGCCAGGCCCTGTTCCAAGTACCTTGATATATATGAGCTCATGTTGTCTTTCTACAACCCTATGAAATGGGTACTATTATTAGCTTCATACTATAAGGAAATTGAGGCGCTGAGAGGCTAAGTGACTTGCCTGAGGTCACACAGATCTAGTGGTAGATTTGGGACTTGAATCCAGGCAGTGTGGCTTTAGTCTGTGCTTTAAATCTGTGCTGACCGGTACAGTAGTCACTAGCCATAGATGGCTTTGGTGCACTTGAAATGTGGTAAGTCCAAATTGAATTGGGCTGTAAGTGTGAAATACACACTAGATTTCAAAGACCTAGTATGAAAAAAATGTATAAAATACCTCATGTTGAAATTACATGTTGCAATGATAATATTTTGGATATACTGAGTTAAGTAAAATGTATTCAAATTAATTTCCTTTTATTTTTGTGACTACTCAAAAACTTAAAATTATATATGTGGCTTGCATTTGTGGCTTACATTATATTTCTGTTGGATTTTGCTAGTCTAAATCATTATAATGCAGTAATAACAACAATATAATAGGTGACATTTATTGAGCACTTACTGTGTGCCACATAGTGTGCTAACGCCTTTACAAACAGCATTTCAATTAAGCTTCAAAATAACCCTTTTTATAATCCCCATTTTATCGAAGAGGGAGAAGTTTTCAAGAAAGTCAGTATTTGCCTGAGGTTAGTCAACTCGTTAATGCCGACCCCAAATTTGAAACCTTATATTTCTGACTCAAAAACCTGTATTCAACTGAATACACTGAAATACCATTTCCAATTAGGGTTAAATCTTGGGGAATTTTCTTTGTTTTTATTTTTGTGAGAATATTTAATATTGCATACTTCTGTATTTGTGATGTAGAAGTTTAAAATAAAAATCACTTGGTCATAAAATAGACATCCCAGATAGAAATCTCTTTTGCAAAGCCTCAGCCCTCTGTGAATACTGGTGCAGTTGAGCCCTGAGATGAAGCAGTGAGTCAGCCTGTACAAATTGCATTTAATTTTCGTTCCAATTGTTCTCTCAGGTCACTGGGCAATTTATGTCCTGACCCTCTTTGTCCATAGACAAGAGGAAGAGGGGCAACACATCTTTTCTTAGTCGTTTAGTCTTCTCGGGTGATAAGAAGAAATTGCCTTCCGTTTCATTGTCCCATGAAATGCTGTTTGTGTTCGAGAGAGCAACAAAATGCTGTCTAATGACCCCTGACCTTTCTTTCTTCTAGAGCAAAGATTCAGGCGGACTGAAGGCGGCTATGATAGAGTTGGTGGAAAGGTTAAAGTTCAAGAGCTCAGACCCTAAAGTAAGTATTGTTTTGGAATTAATTGGATGTTGGTACCCCAAGTATTTCATTCTCCTTGAGCTAAATTCGAGGGATGTTAATGATGATCTATCTGAACATTGCATCAAGATCTAATTAAGCCTACCCATCAAAAGCCATGTTCTAACATGCCTGAAGATAAGTCATCTATTTTTCCCCTTCTCTATTTTATGATTTACAACACATAATCGTTCATTGTTTTCTCTGAACTGCAGACAAGTGCATTTTTAATCTTCTTTTACCGGGCCTTCGAGACTACTGGCCTCTGTGTCCATTAAATCCAACCAAAGGCATCAGAGATACCATCAGCTTAATGCTGGGGACTGGAACAAGCTCAGGCCTATCCAGTTGGTGTTCAGTACTAGCGTCTTGTCACTCCCCCACTTAACGGGAGCCAGCTGCCACTGTGAATACTTTTGCCCTCATGAGCTGGAGTCTGGTCTGGGAAATGGTTTAAGCTTCCCAGCTTTCTTCGCAAGATGTTGGGGGCTGTAGGATTGATATTCTGGGAGACGCCATACCAGGGTTGTGGGTGGACTGGGAACTGAACGTGCCAGAGGGATTATGACTAACGCAGCCTCCCTTCTCCTACTCAGACGTTTGCTGTGGCACTACCCGGTACTGGTGCCAGCTGGCTTTGCCTGAGAGTCAAAGCCTTTCACAATTAAATAGGGAAAGGAGCGTGATTTTATTTGGCTTTTTATACTGTCTTTTTTTTAATTAAAAAATTTTATAAGGGGAATAAGACTAGCATTTCTTGAGCACCTAATAAGAGCCGGGCACTGTGCTAGGAGCCTTACATACCTTTTAAAAAAATTGTGGTAAAATATACATAATGAAATTTCCCATTTGAACCACTTTTAATTGTGCAGCTCAGCAGCCTTAAGCACATTCACATTGTTGTGCAGCATCACCACCATCCATCTCCAGAACTCTTTCCATCATCCCAAACTGAAACTGCACCCATTAAGCACTAACTTGTTATTCTCCCTCTCCTCTTACACACTTGTGATCGTTGCAATAACCTTGTAAATTAGCTTTTATTTCCCATTTTATTGATAAGAACACATTGGGGTAACTTTTGTCGATTTTCTTAGCTCAAAGTAGAAAGACCCCCCTCCCTCAAAACCACTTATATGAAAGTAGTTTTCCTTTAGTAAAGATGAACCAATTAATTATTAAAGATAACAGAAAGCTTTTTTTACCGAGTTTCTCTGGTTTCTGGGACAACAGCTATCCTGAAGGAGACAACTGTGTTTCCTCTTTCTGCCACACCCACATGCTTATAGACAGTGAAGAGCAAGAGAATGTGTACAGATTACACTGAGTGGCTTCTATGCATGATGATAATACAGGTAAAGTGCTTTGGGAACCTTTATGAATGCATATAGTGCTTCTGATGGGAAACTTGCCAGAGCTGAAAGAATTGAGTAGTCCCCATGAAAGCAACCCGTGGAAACCTCAGGATTTTCCTACGATGCATCATAAGCTAAAGGATATTTGTTAGGACCTCACTTGATCTTGGATATGTTTATACACACTCACCTTTCTTTCATCTTCTCTTTGTCTCTCCCTGGATAATTTCCCACTAATCTATTTTATTTTCAAGCCGCTTTCTAGCCTAACATATGTGTATGCCATTTTTACCTGGAGCCAGCTTGAAGAAGGACCATCATAATTGCAGGATGACTGTTAGATCACAAATAGGGGATGAAAAATGGGACACTTAAATACATAATTTCTGCAACAAAGAAAATTTTCCCAGAAACAAATTGGTGTCTTCCAAAAGAACTCATTAAGTTTTTAGTCTGTTCTGTTTTCCCTCCAAACCCCACCATCCTTTTTTTAAGTTGGCTTATTTAAGAAGAGCAGAATCTCCTAGGCTTTATGACCTGTCATTTTCTGGCACAGCAGCTTTACATAGAAGCACTGACTGAGTCATGGAGCCCCGAACACTCTCTCTGCCTCACTTCCTCTAGAATTCCCTAAAGCCTCACAAAGCTGGATTAGTCCAGACACTGAGGTCTACTGGGGACTGAGTTAATTTTTACCTCTCAGTTTTGCCAGAGAGGAGTGGAAGATGCCTAGATTAACCTTTTATTAAATTATAAAATAATGTATGCTTATAGATTAAAAATACAGCTATCCGTAAAGGAAAAATAAAAAAATACAGCTATAAATAAAAATAATAAATAATAAAAAAATACAGCTATCCATAAAGGAAAAGGAAAATGGATTTCCCTTAAATTAACCACTATTAACAGCTTAGTGTGTAACCTCCTAGACATTTTTTCACGTGGAAATATGCTTCGAAGATATATTACAAAAATTATACCATAGCTGTGGTTTTATCACACAGAATATCTTAAACATTCTTCTATGTCAGTAATATAGACTTCTTAATGAGATGCCTCATTTTGTCCAAAATATTTGTCAGAAATCCTCTTTTCTTCAGAGCAATGGTTCTTAAACTTCAGTGTTCATGAAAATCGCCTGGGGGACTTACTAAAATACAGAGTGCTGGACCCACCCCCAGAGTTTCTGATTCAGTGTGTCTGGGGGAACTAGAAACTGTGCTGGACCTTGGTTATTTTCCTGCCATCTTGTGTTTTGGTTTTCTTCGTTCTTTCAGCAAATAGCCAGAAGAGCCCTTGTAAGTCCAAATGATTTCAACCTTGAAAAAAGTGAAATACATAAAATTCCAGGCTTAGAAAACAAATAAATTGAGCTGAGGGAGCAAAGGAGTAAGAGAGGGGAAGGGAGGTAAACTGAGTCATCAGCTTGGGCTCCCTGAGAGGACAGGGTTCCTTTAAACAGCTATGGCCAGCAGAGAAGTAGCAAAGCCAAAAAAAGGGAAAGGAGTCCTGGTCAGGAATTAGGAGGATGATCAAGGCCATCGCCATGGTCCAGGAGTGGGCTGAGTTCTCAAACCAGAGGAACAGCAGGAGACATCAAATCCCAGCTACTAGGGGTGAGCCCAAGGATGGATATGAGAGCCAGGGATGGTTGCTAAATAAGGCACAGGTCCAGATGAAGTGGTGTGCGTGCATGTTGCTGTGGTGAGCCCTGTTTTAAAGGGGGCAGACCTCCAGGGATCCAGAACTTGTATACAGTGGAAAGAAATTATTTTTAATAACAGTCTTTATTTTGTTTAATTGGAAGTGGTCTATTAAATAATCCTAATGCGTTTGACTTGATCCAGTTTGCAAACTTTTTTTTGCAGCCAAACTTTTCAGAAACATCTGTTGCACAAAGCAGCATTTTAGTCGCTAGATTTCTTATATTTATGCTAGACTTTGGGGAAATTAAAAGATGTAGTTAATCAGGGGTATGTATGTGTATATATGTCCGGACTAGATTTTTAGGAAATTTAGAGCATCTGAGTTCTTTACAGCTTTCCTTTGTAGTGACTATGCAATTATCTTTCATAGTTTACCCAGAGGAAACTGAAACTTAGAAAACACATTGATTTCCTTCCTTTCCTTCCCCATGCTCAGTCTCCCAGAAAGTGTTGAACTAAAGTATAAGATGCTAAGCTCAATCTAACTAACCTCTCATTATTCAGTTAATAATAGCTATTTTCTCTATGATATATTGATTGCTTTTCTTTCCATGTAAGGTGCACCATTCACTGTTTCCTATAGCTGGTGTGTGCTTGAAACAAACAGTTTAAACCATGTTTGTGTATCTCAAATTCATATTAATTTAATAAGTTATTCTCAAAAAAGCATCTTAAACTCGAGCCAAGTGGTTCACATTATTCTCTGTGACTGGAGTGGGATTAAACATAGGATCTAATCATACTAAGATTGTCTAAAATATAATCAGGTTCTTTTCCTTATTTTTTTTCGATTTCTACAGGTATTCTTACTGAAGTATGAAACCAAAGAACTGTCTAGCAATATGAAATTAGTTAAGTAGAACTGAGGATTGTTTTCTTATTTTATTTTTATTTAGCATTTACAGAGCATTTTATAATTGCAAGAGGACCTTACAGACCTTTCTAATAGCTGATATCACTGACATGGAACATAGCCCAGTCCTCCACTCCAGTGCTAATCAGACTATTGTTAAAATGATAGGTTTTGCATGGACAAATAGTAATGGATATAAGCAAAACCTAACTTGAATTCTTGGTGTTAGTGTCCTGTTATTCACCTGGGTCAAGTCAGGCCTTGTGTTGGTCCTTGTCCTGCCTCAAGATAGAAGTATTCACTGGGGCAGTATTTATTCATCCATCTAAAGGAGAGAATTGAGATGCCTCAGTTATGAAGTTGGTTCATTCAAAAGTGTTTCTTTGGTTGGAAGGTTATTAGAATTACTGACCTGTTTCTTTTCATTTATTTATTTATTTATTTGGCTGCATCAGGTCTTCGTTGCGGCATGAGGGATCTTTCATTGTGGCACTCGTTGCGGCACTCGTTGCGGCACTTGTTGCGGCGTGTGGTCTTCTCTCTAATTGTGGTGTGCAGCTTTTCTCTTCTCTAGTTGTGGCGCGGGCTCCAGAGTACGTGGCTCTGTAGTTTGTGGCAGGTGGGTTCTCTAGTTGAGGCGTGTGAGCTCAGTAGTTGTGGCGCATGGGCTTAGTTGCCCCATGGCATGTGGGATCTTAGTTCCCCAACCAGGGATCAAACCCACGTCCCCTGCATTGGAAGGAGGATTCTTTACCATTGGATCACCAGGGAAGTCCCTGTTGACCTATTTCTTCACTTTACATAAAAAAGAAGTAATCTTGGAAGACATGAATTGTGTTTATCTCTGTATCCTCAAGCCCTACTAGCGTGGTACCTAGTAATAGATATGCATTATCTATTACAGCAACCATATGAAAAGAAATATCATTTGCCCTGTTTTATGGATACGCAATCCAAGACTTGCAGGGATTAAACAACTTGCTAGTAAGTGGTGGGAACAGGACTGGACTTCAGATTCATCTTCCTTCATGTTATTCACCCCCACACTGTTGTTGAACCCATGGGTAA